TACGCAGGAAACTAACCCGCAACATATTCGCGGAGTGGAGGAGGAGGACCGCCGGCGGGCCGCAATTCCACTCATTGACAACCCCCTAGACCCCGTCACGACAGACGAACTCAGACAGACCATTAGAAACTTTAAGCAACGCAAGGCCCCGGGCGCCGACGGCATCTCTAACAAGGCGCTCAAGCACTTTCCCATCCAAATGCTAACCTTGCTTGCAATTCTCTTTAACGCATGTTTTGATCTGTGCTACTTCCCAGCCGCCTGGAAAGAAGCCATAGTGATAGGCATCCCCAAACCCGGAAAACACGCGCACCTCCCCAGTAGCCATCGCCCTATTAGCCTCCTCAAGGCAATGGCGAAACTTTTCGAAAAAACCATACTGACCAGACTAAGAGAGCACCTCCTATCACCATCCGATCCAATTATCATTGACCACCAATTCGGCTTCAGAGTCAAACACTCCTGCCCCCAACAGATCCATCGCATAGTGGAGCACGCCCTAAGCGGCTTCCAACTTAATAAATATAAAACTATTACAGTCTTCTTCGACGTCGCCAAAGCCTTCGACAAGGTTTGGCACGACGGATTAATCTTTAAATTATATCAATTAGAATTACCCGACCGCCTAGTTAGGTTAGTAGCCTCTTTTTTATCAAACCGCACCTTCCGCTATAGGTACGAAGGTTCACTATCTACGCCCCGCCCACTACGAGCCGGTGTACCGCAGGGGTCCGCTCTCTCCCCCCTGCTATACACAGCGTACACCAATGACATCCCTAAGACCAAGGGTGTCGAGCTCGCTCTCTTCGCGGACGACACGGCCCTGTACTCTAGGGGAGCCAGTACAAATCAAATCATAGCCAAGCTCCAACCGGCAATCACAACACTTGGGAATTGGTTCCGCGATTGGAGGATCGACGTAAATCCGGACAAAAGTTCGGCCATTTGTTTCGATCCCAAGCGCCGCACCAAAACCATACAACACGGTACGCGGTCTCTGCGAATGCAAGGCATAGCAATACCGTGGCACCGCACAGTCAAATACCTAGGGATCACACGAGACAAAAAACTCACCTTCCGTGCACGCATCACACGCGTAGTCGCGAACGCGCGCTTTTATATGAGCCGCCTCCACCCGATGCTCGGTAAATACAGCAAAATGTCACTCCGTAACAAGCGAACGCTTTACAAAGTTTGCATACGCCCGGTCCTCACTTACGCGTCACCAGTGTTCGCACACGCGGACGAAGCGATTTTGAACAAACTTCAAGTGCTTCAAAATCGCTTCTGCCGCATAGCCACAGGGGCCCCGTGGTACGTCCGCAACGCGGACCTCCACAGGGACCTACAACTCGACACAATTCAAACACACCTCATAGAGTGCTCGGAACGGTTCTTCAAAGCTGCAGAAGAGCACTCTAACACACTCATTAGATCGGCGTCGGGATACGCCCCACACACTCCATCTCGCTTCAGGCCCCGTAGGCCCAAACACGCACTCACAGCCACACACAATAAACTCACACGCGATCTCGCGGCCCTCCTGGCCGCTGAGGATCCAATACTCGCGGTGAGTCCCCCCGCCCCCCCGACACAGAGAGGTTCGATTCCTCTCAGTCCCCTCCCGTTTCAAGTGCACATCTGAGTGCACTTGTCCTCTAAGCGCATTTTGCGTTATTTTAAACTATGCACTAGATTAAACTAACGCAGCGCCGCATCATCCCCCTCTCGGGGGGTGATCGCTTCAGATGAAGCTTGTAAGGCCCTTCTGGCCATAAGCATGAATAAAGGGTGTTTTTTAGTCAGTAGGAGTCTGACATAACCTTACAGCCGGCTGTAGGGTATCCATGAGGATTTCTCACCCTCTCCCCCGCCTGGGAGGAAACAAAAAAAAAAAAAAAATCAACATGCAGGCCGGCAGGGTGAGGATGGCTGGTGTGGCAGGTAGAACTGTTGTATCAGCTATCTTCGCGTTTGTTTTCACCATCACTTAACATCAGGTGGGGTGGAGTCATTTGTCGGACCTATCTATAAAAAAAAATGTAAATATTTTACGTTTTTAAGGCAAAAATCCCTGTGTGTTTTTAGAACACGGGAAATATTAGAGACAAGAAAAACGTTTCATTCATTCGTAAGTAGTTTTAAAGAAATTAATGTAAAAAGGTTTTCATTTTCTAAAGCATTAGAGGAGCTCGATGGCGGAAATGAAGTTAAGCAACTTTCGCAGTTATCGGTCATTGGATGGGTTACCAAAAATCTTCTATCTCGAGCTCCTCCGTGCTTCGTTAAATCGTCGGTCCCGGCTGCATCTGCAGTCGTTAGCACCCGCCAATCCGCACTGGGCTCGCGTGGTGGGTCATGGCCCAATCTCCCTATTCAATCCATAGGGGAAGGCCTGTCCATGTAGAAAAGTATTCAGTGGTATAATAGGTTATATATGAAAATCAATGAATTTTGCATTATAAAGTGCCCAATAATTAAAATAAATATTTCCAACACTCACACCAATTAGCCTAGCCCCAAAGTAATCACTGTAAGTCCTGTATTATGGGATACTAGGGTATACGGATAGAATACATATACTGTACATATAGTTTAAGCATATTTATATAGAAATACATATTAAACATCCATGATTGGAGTACAAATGCTCGTATTCATCACACAAACATCTGCCCCGACCGGAATTCGAACCCGAGACCTCTCGAGTCGGCGACACCATGAAACCCCCGGCATATAAACCACTCAGCCACGGAGGTCGTCAAATATCGACCGCATAGACAAATTCTCGAAATCTCAATCGAAACGATACCGCGCTGAAACCAAACGAGAAAGACTTTTCAGTTTAAAATAGGCACGGTGTTTCAAATAAAGGCTGATTTACACTTCGGTAAGTACAGTAGTGTAACTTACGGTTTTGGCGAGTTGAATTCTTATCATTGTTTGGACAAGGTTTTGCTACTTAAGTACATACTGCTTAAATGTCCCATTTCTAAACTTGCTACTGTACTTACCTAATTGTAAATCAGTCTTAAGATAGCAAAGTAAAGAGAATCGATATTAAATTATTTTAATAATTTAGTAATAATTTACGAGGAGCTCGATGGCGCGGGTGGTTAGCGCGTTCGGCTGCGATCGCTGAAGTTAAACAACTTTCGCAGTAGTCGGTCATTGGATGGGTGACCAAAAATCTTCTACCTAGATTTCCTCCGGTTCCGGCTGCATCTGCAGTCGTTAGCACCCGCAAATCCGCACTGAGCCCGTGTGGTGGGTCATAGCCCAATCTCCCTATTCCATCCATAGGGAGGGCCTGTACCGCAGTGGGGGCATTAATAGGCTGATGATGAATTAATTTACATAAGGTAACTTTGTGGTCATATGTACATTGAAATTAATGTGACACTATTTTATAAGTAACGAAAATAAAATGCTGTTAAATTTTCACAAATACTTTATTATTCTTATAAATTTATTATAAAAGAAAAAACATAACTTAAAAATACATTACTTAAAAAGCGTTTTAAAAATTAGATGTAGTTATTATCAATAGCTAATAATATTATTTGTGCGTTAATGATGTACTTATGAAATAGTTGAGATACAATAATATGTAACGGTTCAATTACACAACAATAAAACATTATTCTTAACAACAAAGTATCAGTCAAAATACATAAATATTTAAATTGGATGCGTGGCCAAGTGCGAATTGCGACTTTTGGCCGTGCGGCGTAATAACGCAGCGGCATTGACCATCTATGGTGCGTGGATTGCGCATTTATTTTTGTCGTGAATGGCTCAAGCGAAATGGATTTCAAAGCATACATCAGACGCAGAATTATGGCGGTACGCTTCTGTGCACACGCTATTTGCTATTAAAAGTTTCTCTCAAACATACGTGGCGACAGCCGCGGTTTGGTGGCCAGTTGTATTCGCTTGCAATGTAAGCGAATGTTCAAACATAAGCGACCAATAAGGGATAGCCGCGGCCGAAGCCTGCCTCTTTCTGTGAAACCTTTGAAATAATACTAAAATGGCGGTGTTTCGCCTCGAGGTCAATAAGCCGCAGTGCGCGCTAAGCTTAATGCAACTCTTTCAATGATGGCTACCGTTTTCTGTCTCACCAGATGGCGCCACTGGTGAGTGAGGTCCTAAATTGTAACTTTTAAAGTTTATTAATACGCACATGAAATCAAAGGTTACATTTAGATCGTATTTTAACACAAAAGAACCATATCCTAAACATAATAATAGGCCATGCCACAATGACGCCCAGTTCCGTTTTATTCGGAAAAAATGGGAACATAATCATTTTTGTAAGCTCAAATTTTTAATAACTGACATTCATTGCCACATAACTCATATTTGCCATAATTAAGCCGAATTGTTACCAATTATTCACAACATTATTTTAATAAGAAATAAACCCGCGTAGGCAACCAACAAGCAATAACATTTGACATTTCGGAGACCTCACGCTGCACTAGCGCCTCTAGCGGCGGATTCATACACGATAGATACATTGGTTTCAGTTCATTTTCTTAAAAAAAAAACAAAGATTAAAATAAATACATAGCGTATCATTAATACTATCTTGACTGTAAATATGTTAAAACGAGCCTTACAATAGTCACTTTATTATTTTATGATGTAACATTTTTGTAACACGTCTCACCTTAGTAATAAGCAATTTTGATTATACACTAAAATCAATTTCAATAGTGCCGCACTTCCCCGACTTCCTGTTACACAATTTTGTCCCATTTTACGAAATCAATCACACAAGCACAGACTTTAAAAATTGCAAAAAAGCTAGAGGAAAGATGTTACACATAAAAAGAAACTGTTAAAATGTGAAAGCGTATTTTTTATGTCAATAGTGATGTTTCTTTGGTATTTTATTAATTGTTAATTTTGTTGAATGTTATTGTTAAGATGTCAAAATAGCAAATAGACTTTTTATAAAACACACACAGGTACATAATAAATATTTAAAACAGATTTTCTTAAAAAGTAATTAATTAAGTATCAAACTAAATCAGTAAATGGGGTTGCTAAGTCTTTATATATTGTGCATTTATTGATTTTTTATTCTTCTTAGGGTCAAGCCACACGTAACGCTGCGGTGCAATATCGACTCGAAAAAAACGCGCGTAACGCAATGCATAACGTGCCATACTGGCCTAAGTAAGATAGGCCACTATGGTTAAAAAATGAGTTATAGGTCACTATAGTTCTCATGGCCTCAATTATCTACTTTGGTTTTTGTTTATTCAATACTTACTATTTTTTAATTCAATATAATAATATGTGCATCTCAATTATCAGTACATTTTTAATACGGGTCATAAAAAGCTCTTAAAGGTAAAATTAACTTTTTAGGTGGAGCGCGATTCGCGTTTTATAAGACCTATAAAAATGTCAGTCAGAATGTCAGAAATATGTTGATTTTCAGTTCCATCCTTCGAAGTATTGTTTGAATGCGGTCGGCTCCAGGTCTTCGGGTACTTTGGAGACGTGAACCTGCGAATAAAGCATGATCATAAATGAAAAAAAATAAAAAAAATAAAAATATCTAATATATAAAATTCTCGTGTCACTGTGATTGTGATTGACGTGTGATTTCGTGAAATTTTATATGCATACTAGCTGACCCAGCGAACTTCGTACCGCCATAAAAAAATTAATTAAAAAAACATTGTCCAGCGGACAAAATTGTGAATCTAAACCATTCTCAGATCCCCTTGAACACACACAAAAAAATTCATCAAAATCGGTCCAGTCGTTTAAGAGAAGTTCAGCGACATACACACTCACAGAAGAATTATATATATAAAGATTCAGTAGGTCCGAGAATCGGACAACATATATTTTTCTTCCCCCTAAATGTTAAGGGTGGTCCACACTTAAATTTCTTTTTTTGTAATGTTTTTTTTTATTTTTTTATGATACATCATACAAAAATACATGCTACACTAAATTTTCACCCTTCTACCAGGCTGGCTCAGCTAGTTAATCTATAAAATTACTAGCTGACTCGGCGAACTTCGTACCGCCCAAAAGTAATAATTTGCAATAAATTAAAATTGCGACTATAATTTGAGATTTAAACTATCCTATCTCTCAAGTTGGATCGAACTGCACATGGTGTGCGAATTTTATTATAATCGGTTCAGTGGTTTAGGAGTCCATTGAGGACAAACATTGTGACACGAGATTTATATATATTAAGATTGAAAATTGCGATATACTTCAGTCATTCTAGAAGATTCACTTCAAAATGTTACTCACCCATGGAGGTAGGTCGTGTGCTTTCAAATATTGTTGGGCCCTGTTCATCGCTTCAGCCTTTTCCTGTTGACAAATTAAAAATATATAAATGCTAGGAGATTTAATAAAACAGATTTAGGTAGAAGTGTGATTTTATAACTTTTTGGTTATTTTTGACGTTTTGGTAGATAGGTAGGTAGATACATCTTAATATATATAAATCTCGTGTCACAATGTTTGTCCTCAATGGACTCCTAAACCACTTAACCGATTATAATAAAATTCGCACACCATGTGCAGTTCGATCCAACTTGAGAGATAGGATAGTTTAAATCTCAAATTATAGTCGCAATTTTAATTTATTGCAAATTATTACTTTTGGGCGGTACGAAGTTCGCCGAGTCAGCTAGTTTATTATAACTTCTGATTAAGTAGTTATCCTCTTAACTTAAAATATTTATTGAGTACGTTCGTTATCTTAAAATATTTCAAGATGATAAGTCAAAAAATGGTAAAAGTACAGTCTTGCGACTAGGGTTACCATCCGTCCGGATTAGTCCGGACATGTCAGGACTTTGAGTCTATAGTCAGGACTTTGTCCGAATCTTCAAATTTTCCGGATTTTTTAAATAACATGGAATATGAATTATAAAAGTATATATTATTGATTTCAATACCATACCATTGTAACTAAGTGAGCAATGGTACTTTATGACTAAAAAGCCCGGACTTTTTTCGAAATGTCAGGACTTTTGTAATTCCTAAATGGTTACCCTACTTGTGAAGAAGATCTAAGCGGCGCTGCGAGTTAGAGTGTGAGAGGAGGGAAGCCAGACACACTGGCGCCGTAACGCGTTACGGAAGGAAGCGGTTTACCCTCCCATAAGAAGTTACTTCAAAAACATTTTCATAAAAAGGGATCGGTGGGTGTAAAGGGGATTCGAGGTTGAAATGGGATTCAAGGGTGAAAAGGGGATTGTTGGGTGATAATAAGGGATTGGTGGTTGATAGTGGGGATTGATGGGTGAGGAAGTGGGGTGGGTCTGTGGACACCCCTCTAGTACCTGGGCGGACTGTGGTGTCTATCTCCTTTTCGCGGCGAAGGGAAGCCAGACAGACTGACGCCGTAACGCGTTACGTAACGAAGCGATTTATCCTCCCATAAGAAGTTATCTCTTCCAAAACTAAATATCTAAATCGCGCTCTTTACTGTTTTACAAAGAATTTGTGTGATAACATCCTTTTAATATGTTACAAATGTGAAAGATTGTAATTTCACTCACTATGTTAGTTACGGAATCACGTAAAACCGCTGAACGAATTAGGATGAAATTTGGCATGTAGTTGATTTACTACCTAGATTGAGACATAGGATACCTTTTATTCCGGAAAAATATCAGGTACCTGTGGGATTCTCAAAAAACTAAAGTTAATGCGGACGAAATAGCGGGCGGCAGCTAGTAAGATAAAATTGTGTGCTCGGAGCACATCTGAAGTGAAACTTCTATCTTAAATAACCTAACATTAGGAGGTGCATAAGGCATAGGGGAATGGAGCAGCGCACGCTACACTTTTAAATATATATCTACTAGCTGTTACCCGCGGCTACGCTCGCGTGGTTTTCCTATTTGAGGCTATCATCCTCTTTTGACATAGTGAGAAAAAAGTAGCTTATTTCTATTAAAATTACTGCGCCTTTCTGCTTGAAGCCGCACATTTAAATCTCTGCGCGCCTGTGCTTGTTCAGGTGTTTCGAATGACCTCAAAAAAGCTTGTCGTTGAGCTTGCTCATCAAGTCTTTGCTGAGTTTCAGCAGGTGTTCTGCAGCTCTTAAAGCAGTTTGACTCCCCGCTTGTAGTCTTTGTTGAGACTGAACATCCGATTCAACGGCTCTCAAATGAGCCTGCCGCTCTGTCTGCTCCTGAAGTCTTCTCTGTGTCTGCGATAGTGATTCTAAGGCCCTCAAATTCGCTTGACATTCAGACTGTTCAAGACGCCTTTCCTGTGTCTGCGATTGAGATTCTGAAGCCCTCAAAGCAGTTTGGCGATCTGTCTGTTCTTGCCTTCTCAGTTCAATTTCTTCAAGAGATTCTTGCGACCTAGTTAATCTCTTTGCTCGTGCTTGAGAGGCTACTCTATAAAGGCTAGATTTGCATTTGCGCGTCATTATTACGGTGAAGGTAAGTATCTGAATTTTTTTTTTATTAAAAAATATTACCTATTTTAATTACAACAGTATAAAAATGTTTTGTAAGCACCTTCTCAACTTGTTTATAGTAGGTAGGTATTTAAAATCACCTATTTTCACAAAAACCCAAGATCAATGTGTTAAGTTAATCGTCAAAATGATTGCTTTTTAATATTCCTTTTTGTTTTTTTTTAATTTTATTATTTTTATTTAATTATTATTATTTTAATAACAGATACTTAACATATATTATGTAGGTATGTAGATAGGTAATTCGTATTTTATTAAAATCAAGGTATTTACCTATCTAGGTATCTGCCGAAATAGTATACGCACTTAGTAGATAATGTAGGTAGGTACCAATCAAGGTAGGTAGGTTACCTATCTACAAAGGTATCTAGCAAATAGGCAGCCCTTCTTTCAGAGCAACAAAACCAATCGAAAACTACAATACCATATTATTACAAAAACCAATACCTACCTATGCGTTGTCTATCTTACTGGTAAAAATCGAGGTAGATAGGTTATAATATAATAATCGTAATTTTTATCAGTGAGCCTAATTTATACATTCGGAGAAACTACCAAAATACCTACCTAATTCATTTAATGCACAACAAAACCAAATCACAAAGGAAAACAAAAACAGATATGTAGGTAGGCAGGTACCTTGGTAAATCGTATTTCTTTAAAATCAATCAAGGTAGGTAGGTACCTACTGCTTGCTGTTGCTTACCTGCTGAAATAGTAAGCACTTAACACCACCACGTTGATTCTTCTCTAATAGCACAGATAACAGAATACTATTAAAAACAATAAATATAAAAAAGTAATGTTCATGAATAGGGCCATCCGAAAAACCTCAGATTTTTAGTGCAAGTAAACTTGATTTTAATGACGGGTAGCGACATCTCTTCAGTTTCACACGCAACAGCTTGGTTTTCGAATGAGGGTTTTCTGGAATGACGGGCACCAGGTGGCAGTACTGAGACGAAAGGTCTACTCATCCGTTAAATCGCATATGTTCTCATAGTCTATGGATCTGGTCTATGGAGTTCGCGCCAAAAACTTCATACAACAAACGACCTCACGACACAGTGGCGCCAACTGGTGACGCAAATTTTCATAAACACCCTCATTGTTATTCGAGTTGGTAGCGCCTACTTCTATTAACATCCAGGATCAATCTTCACTTGAAAATTATTGGATAATACTCGATTAAGGGACTAAAATAAATCAACAGCTGTTTATTTAGTATCTGTCTACTGTAAACAGCTGATTATTTAATATCTTTTTGATGTTTATAAGATTTCCTGGTAAAATATTAGGAACTGAAGGAAGTCGGTTTTTTTTACTACTATTGTTTTAATTAAAATATCTACCTACATCACGTTAAAATTAACAATAAATATTAAAAAGTCATGTTCATAAATAGCGCGATCTGAAAAAACGCAATATCACAACTCAGATTTTTAAACAATTAAAAATACTCATTTTAAAGACGGGTGCCATCTATTAAGTTACTCAAAAAATATTATTTCCAGAGAGACTACTCGGTTGAGTTGGTATTCGAGATGGAAGCGCCATCTCTTATTATTATAAGCTACATCCAGAATCTATAATCACTCGAAAATGATATTTTTATATTATAAATTTAGAGTAGTATTTGCTAGATTTAATTTTAAAAATGAGATTAGAAAGAAATTGCGTAAAATTACCTCGATTTAATAAATGAAACACTAACACAAAATACTCGGTATTGAACACGAGTGGTGCCATCTCGTATTAAGATAGCAACTTCCACATTTCATATTTAATCTGTCTTCGTGACAGTAGCGCCATCTCTATCGGGACCAACCATGAAAATGATTAATTTAGTTGAAAATTATGTAAATTCGAATATATAAATTAAAAAAAAGTAGCCTATAGCAGTCTCATAAGTTCAAGCTATACATTTACCAAATTTCAACACAATCGGTTCAGCGATTTAGGCGTGAAGAGAAGACAAACAAACAAACAAACACACTTTCCCATTTATAATATTAAGTATGGATATATATAAAACTCAAAGGTGACTGACTGACATAGTGATCTATCAACGCATAGCCCAAACCACTGGACGGATCGGGCTGAAATTTGGCATGCAGGTAGATGTTATGACGTAGGCATCCGCTAAGAAAGGATTTTGATCAATTCTACCCCCAAGGGGATAAAATAGGGAATGAAAGTTTATATGAAACTTTGTCAATTTTAAACCGATCGGGCTGAGACTTTGCATGCAGGTATAAGAAGAATCATAGATGAATGTCATTGTGTATAATACAAGCCTGAGAACAAAAAATGTAGTTTACACTTCAGCTCTACACCGAAGCGAAGCGAGGGCGGGCTACTAGTATATCTATATATATTGTTGCGTGTGAAACGCGTGATGCTCGTAGCGCTTAAGCCTTCGTCGATTTACCCTCCAACTTTCATGCTCGTCGGGAATAGCTGTGCGACGTTCGTATCGCATTTCCGTTTCATCTTTTCCATAGGATTTTTCCATTTACACCCCGTTCGAAAAGAAGTTTCAATACCAAAAGATCTTAAGGCATTGGTAAAGTAACAATTATAGAAAACTGAATATTTTAGGTCATCTTTAAGTAAAATCAAGTAAGGTGGTTCATATATCAACAGTATTTATAGCGTATCATGCGAATGTAGCTTCTACGTTACGGTATGGAGTGATATTTTGGGGGAACTCAGTTGACAAAGAATATGCATTTAAAGCTCAAAAAATGTATAAGGGCTATTTGTAAAATTAAGCAAACTGACAGCTGTAAACCGCATTTTATATCATTAAAACTTTGGACATTGCCGTGTATTTACATATATGAAATTGCTGTTTTTGTTAGAGCCAATTTACACTTATATGTTACTTTTAATAGTAGAAGATTCGAAACCAGACTTTGTTTACTATCTAACAAGACATGGCTTATGAATAATAGTGTACTTTGTATGGCACCTCAGGTATATAATAAAATTCCAATTGAAATTAGAAAAGCTGAAAGCCCCAAATATATTTCGCTCTGAATTAAAGAATATGTTACTTAAAAAAGCATATTATAGTATTAAGGAATTCTTAGGGGACAAATCTGTGTAAATGGATGTACACTATGTGTTTATTTTAATTTGCATGCCTTGTGGAGAAATATGGAATAAGCGTACGTATTATAATTTAACACCTTTGTATCACCTGTATTTGCAAATAAATAATTGATTGATTGATTGATTGATTGAAAATATATACCTTTTCGTTGGAGCCTTTGCCAACCCATACGTAAATACCGCTGCTACCGGTGTCTAAAATGAAACATTCCTGAAAAAAATAAGTTTTTGTATTACTTTGAATTATGTATGACGTTGTTGAATTTAAGCAACTTTCGCAGTGGTCGGTCATTGGATGGGTGACCAAAAAGCTTCTATCTCGAGTTCCTCCGTGCTTCGGAAGGCACGCTAAACCGTTGGTCCCGGCTGCATCTGCAGTCGTTAGCACCCGCCAATCCGCACTGGGCCCGCGTGGAGGGTGATGGCCCAATCTCCCTATTCCACCCATAGTGAAGGCCTTTGCCCCAGCAATGGGGACATTAATAGGCTGATGATGATGATGTATGACGTTGTTGGTGTTAACTCTGGCATGGTTCTCTAAAATTAAAATTTAAAGTAACATCAGTCTCTCCTTTTCATTTTGTAAAGAGAATGACAAGGATACACTGTTGACAAATTTAGTTTTAATTTCAGAGAATCATACCAGAATCGTCACCATTCTATATGAACCAATTATAATGTTCGTTCGATGTCTTAGCACCAGAAATTCCATTTATAACAGCGCAATCACATTTGGTCGCTAGCCCGTATTACGTTGCACGAAAGACTCATTTCAACCTGTTTCTTCATAAAAACCTGTTTCTAAACACAAATTCAAAAACATTTTTTGAGTTTAGGCTGTTACAAGCACTCATGAATGTCTAGAAGCTACGCCTTCGATTCAAACAAAAAGGGAAGATACGGTACGCTCATACTAGCATCAAATAAAATATACTCCAACTCAACTACATAAGCAACTCACTCGAGCGACCGAGACAGGACTGTACCACGGTAATATTATCTATACAGTATTGTGACTCGGCCCTGTCCTTGAAATAACTGCCTACAGCCGACCGGGGCGTATCCACGCGGTAGGGCTACCCGCCTACAGTATTTTCATTTCATCTACATAATTGAGTTTCTTTCTAGTTTTGTGATTGTAAATATTTTATTTCATATGTTAAAAAAAATATGTTGTGAATGGATTAGGAAGTGTAACATAAAATATATGTTATTTTAATTTGAGACAGATTAATATTTACGCCTCGACCGAGACGTACGAAAAGCATTAATATTAAATTCAATAGTATAATAAATACGCATTCGTATAAAAAGATTAAATATTGAAGAGTTTAAGCACGACTAACTGCTTAAATAACAATTCACACCGTTCGGTCGTCGCTGCGGCGCATTCGCGGCTGGATGCCCACCGGGTGCCGCGCGAACTCGAGTGGCGTAGGTATGACACGCTTTCCGACCGTTTGTATGAAGATAGAATACTGTATAGATAATATTACCGTGACTGTACGCTTTAACGCAGCGCGAGTCCGCTCCCGAGTCCGTAGGGCTTAGCTGTATTGTTTTCCTGTTCTTGATAACAAAATGACGATTACTAACATTTACGACAAACAGTGATTTTTGAGAAAAAAAAATTCTGACAGTATTGCGAATGAAAAGTGTTGCCGAGGCATTTGTTATTTGATTTTCAACTATTTGTGGTCTTTATAAAAGCATCGAAGGCATTGTTTTATCTTTATAACACAGAATATACGCAATATTCTTATATTGAGTGCACATGCAACGTGTTTGAATGTACAATTGTGATTAAAGGGAATTGTGGTCATGCACCACAATTTAAGCGGATCATTTTTGAGACGCGAGTGCCGTATCTTCCCTTTTTGTTTTAATCTAAGACGCCATCGGTTCGTAAATCTACGGCAGGAGACCTTTTACTGAGAAGAACCGGCAAGAAACTCAGCAAGGGCTGTTTATTTCTCCTTCTGTTATTATTTACGGAATCGCCAAGTTAAAAACTGACTTCAGAGATGATTCACCAATTCACCTTTCATTACATAAAGTGAAATATACATTATTTGTTCACCTGCATTTTGATTGCTGTTTCATGCAGTATAAATAAAAACAGCGGTTTAAATAAATAAGATGAAAATTATTTTTATTACAAACGTTGTGGAATGCTTGGATATGAAGAAAAAAAAAAAAAAATTCACAAAGAAATGCAGGCACTCTCTTTACATGAAACTTCATCATCTCACAAAGTTTGCAATAAAGATTTAATTAGATCGTGAGGTAGAATGTTAAGTATACAAATAATATGAATCACCTTCGTGTCAAGCATATCCTGGGTGAATGGGCTAGATAGTTTAGTGATCTTCATACTGCCAGTGCTGTTTGATATTTCACTAAGAGTCACCTCTTTAGCGTCTCGACGCTCAAATTCCTAGAAAACAACAACATATTATTCAGGGTTGCCTGATTCTACTCAGTGAGGAAGCTCTCATTTCATTATATGCACTCGGCACTGAGTCTGTACAGATTCGGTACAGAAACGAAACGAGCCCGCACCGACACAAGGTAAAATCACTTTTATTCAGAATAGGGATGATGACTAATTTTTTTTGTTCGTTTATCAGGTAGAGTATCAAAATGTCTTGGACACGTTTTTTTTCTTTTTTCGCATAATATAAACATTGCAGAGATATATTGATTTGAAAAGTCGCATGACGTCACGTTTTGGTACAATTTTCACTTAAAAGTGACTCCTCCCAAACTTTGACGCGCTATAACTTTGTAATTTTTTGGTTGATTGCCCAAAGAAAAATACGTGCCCATTATTTTTTGATCATCTAACTGATGGACTAAATAGAATTTCGCTTACTGTACCCCGTCATTACCCCTATTCGTTGTATGCAATCATATGACACCTCGCACACTTATCAGCACCGTACGTCTATATGAAAATTTGTCGTGTATGGTGTGGCATTTGTGCGATCTCCTTAATGGTCCGGCTATACGCTCCGTCTTGCCAGTCCAACTGTGTATTATGACTGTACAAAAAGACGGGACACCGTAGAGCCGTGGCCTTTCCTACGGGTAAACTCGTACAATCTAGACTGTGCAAATAGTATTTTAAGAACTCGTTAAGTCAGGATGCGGCAAACGGAATAAGTTATTTTACCATTGTTTTATTGTTTACTAATAAAAAAGGAATAAACAAACACATTACTTCGAATGACTTCTTAGCATCACTCATTTTTTTATTAAAAATTTACAACGTGTGTCGTTGTTCAAATATTAGCTGGACTGAAGCGCTGCTTGAATGATCGAGCACATGCTGCAGGCGAAACCGTGCAAGCCAAGTTTGCGCAGTCCAATCTTTAGCATGTCAACGATCACACAAAACTAAGAAACTCGAGTCTCTGCAATTACGCCGCGATGTGGCATCATTAAGCGCATTCTACCGACTATACCACGGCGAGTGTTCCGAGGGGTTGTTCTCCCTTATTCCTCCATCACTTTTCTTCAGAGGACCACGCGCGCTGGCCTACGTTGCTACCGACTTACTGTGGCCACTATTCCTACACGAACAAAGGTGACTCATTTTTTTGTCGTACTATACGTAAGTGAAATCTTTTGCCCACGCACGTGTTCCCTCCTTCCTACATTCTGGAGTCCTTTAAGAGAGGCTTGAAGAAGCATTTCTGCAGGCCGGCAAGGTAAGGATGGTTGGTGTAGCAGTTTATAACTGCTGTACCAGCTATCTTCGCGTTGGAGTTTATTACCACTTAACATCAGGTGGGGTAGAGTCATTTGCCTACCTAGCTATAATAAAAAATACAAGCCTCGTTTCTGGGCTTGCGCGAGCTACCGTCTTACCATTCACACACACTGTCACCTACGCAAACTGGCTTGCGCAGCCATGCTCGCAGGAAAGCCAGAGCGTGTAGCCGGGCCATAAGGGTACTTTAATATGAATAAGTACTTATATGATAAGTGTGAGTGTTAGATATATGCACTTCTGTTACCTCATCATCTTCAGAGTCATCACTGACCGAGTCCAGGTCTCCGGAACCGAGTGCTTTGAAAAAGTTCTCCACGTCACCCTCACTGGCGAAAGGATCTGAAGAAAAGCAAACCATTAATTATATCATCATCATCATCATCAGGGTATTAATGCCCCCACTGCTGGGGTGTATTTGAATATTGCTCCTTCCCCCTGCCCATTCCCTATGGATTGAATAGGGTGAACGGACCTTGACCCACCACGCGGGTCCAGTGCAGATTGCTGGATGATAAAGACAGCAGGTGCAGCCGAGAGACGGTTTAACGTACCTACCGATGTACGGAGCAGAGAGAGATAATAAATTTTTGATCACTAATCTTATGAACCGCCATTACGAAAGTTGCTTTGCAGTGGTGAGCGCGATCGGTCGGAGATTATGTAAGTTAAGAAAAGTGTTTCTATCGATGAGTAATGTTCAAGACTCCACGAGTTAGGGAGTGGGTCAGGGTAGCCAATGGCGTGAGTGATATTTTGGTATTGCAAGATATCGAGGCCGCTTACTGGTTTGCTACCCTTTTAACATAAAAAAAGTGTTTCTTATAGACTTACCAATGATTTCAATCTCGCCCCTCCCATTATGATCCTGATCGTTGATTTGGTTGGCGACGTTGATCGCCTTCAGCTTCTCCACTGGCTTAGCCTTCTCCCCCACAAACACGTAGATGTTATGTGCCACATCCAAAACAAAGCAGTCTCCTTTATTCATGGATGAGACTGAAGGATCGACCTGTCAAAGAATAACGAATGTAAGCTATCATATCAAAGAGATGCTTCTTCACGCAGATGTGGAATCCTGCACGATAAAGCTTCGTGTGGCTTTGATACTAAATACGCTCAAATAAGCGTTAGAAATTTGAATTAGTTCTATCATAATGAATTCTCGGGCTGCGTGTTTCTGGACGCTAGACTGGCGCTAACTTGACACGCTAAAAGAAGTTATTTGTGGAAGACCATATATTTTTTTATGTGCAGCTGAAGGAGCTTACTCAATTCAAAGTTCGAACGCTAATTTAAGCGCATTTTAGTACCAAAACTACGTCACGCAGGTGTGGGATACGCAGTAGAAAACCGGTCAGGCGGGCGATTCAATTCTACTGAAAAATTCTGTATCAGGGCAAGGCTTTAAGTTCCCTATGGGATTCTCTGCATGTCATTTCATAGGTGAGTTAAGCAATACCTGCTTGACGCGTACGTTCCTCTTGCCCTTTATCTGGAATAGCCTCTTCTCCGCCCCAGGGTTGATGGTGACGTGGTTGAAGCCTGATGAGTGGCCACCATCCATATATCTGATCGCTGGAACACAGAAATCAGAAGGTTATACATAAATAATTATAAATATTGGACTCTCTTTGGTATTTCCAATTTTCCTTCACTAAGCCAAAACGTGGACGGTGCCCTATCGTTATCGAAGACTCGTCGGTGCTTTAAAGATATGTATGTGGTCGTCAGTCCATAGGACAATTGCATCGATCTTCAAGGAGATGAACCTTCAAAGTGGGCCTCAAAGAGTACCCATTCCACGAAAGACAGCGCCCATGGGCGACAGTCACCACTTAATATCAGGTGGCCCGTCTGCCTTGGAAGGCAGTAAAAAATCATTTTCCTTTAATGGAATCATTAAATAAAAGCTTGAACAGTTTAAATGCGTTAATTAATTTGTTTCTTGACGTTTATCATCCTTTTCAGGCTGGGTCGTGAGAATTATGATTGTTCTTTACTTTGTCGAGCTACCTTCGAAAGACGTTATTGAGCGTTCATAAGCTTCATTGAAATTTTTATTGTCTATGTATGAATTTATTAGCTTAATTAATTAATTAAGTACCTACTTTAATTCTTTTTTCATTATGAGTTTATTTATTTGATCCCAACTACCGTAAACTACCACCAGTTCCAAATTGTGAGATCTGTCTGAGAATAACTGTCTCCTTCATATTATGTTAAATCATGTAAACAAAAAGAAGTAATAGTATCTGTTAGACTTGCAGTGTGTGTTCGGGGTTGGGATTTACTAACCTGGTTCGAAATATCCAAGGAACTGTTTTGACTCATGACCCTGAGTCTCCCTATGCTGTATGGCGGCGCCATCGAACTTGTTATCATCCAAGTTGACTGACAAGATGGCGGCCGTCCCAGCCTCGTCCTGGGACGTTTTAGAGCCGAGCCAGAAGTGGATATCCCATGACAGGTTTTTGGCTTCCCCATCTGTCTGCAAAGAAGAAACATTTATATTATCTTACAGTATCGGGTTCGCTACCTGAGCACCTTGTTTTTTGCGGACCTTCGATATTTCTGCACTGCTGGAAGTACCATGATCACCGTTAAGATTAAATTTAAATAGAATCAGAGTAAATTATCAAGGATTCGCAAAAAAGAAGTACAGAATAACAAATCCACTAGTTAGTGCCCATGAAAGTTTAAAACAATATATTAATAAAATTTTAATCTTTTGACATATTATTTATAAAAATGTAAATGTTACGTTAAAGGAGGATCAGTTTTGGATTCACAGCTATATAAGTTTTCGTCTTCAATGTACGCTTCTGTGTCTCGCTAGAGGAGACTTTCACAACTATATTGAAACTAAAAAGAAAACCAAGAGGATGGTCGCCGAATAAAAGGCATTGGCCATTGCGGACACGTAGAAAAGACTTGACAATGCAGTAATCGATCAGGGAAAAAATTAAATAGCAAAATTCAAAAACAAGCAAAGCATGGACAAAAAAAAATATATTCAGGAAAAAATTAAAGTTGCAAAAATTGCAGAAAAATTCGTTGAGCCGAAATTGCTGGTATGGTTACGTCATGCAACGCATAGAAGATCACATGACCAGAATGGTCATGGATACGGAGAAGCTTAAGCATGGTCGAGGTAGACCGCCAACTACTTAAGATGAATACAGTACACAGACACATGAAGACGACACACTGGCATGACACAGTCACGACTTTAAAGGCGTGACAAGACTAGGAGGGCCGACTCAAAAGAAATGGGAAATAAAGGCTCGGAGAAAGAGAAGCCACAGTTAAAGTTATCCAGAACTATCAAACTCTAACTGTTTTTGAGCTTTATGGTACTTAAATTCAAAAGCTAAGTTTCTCAATTAATTGAGGACAATTGGCAGTATGTGGTTAATCGATATTTGCCTAAAGATTAAATAAACTTGGGATCCCACGAGGGTCTGAACTCGGTCCATTGTTCTTTTATATTTGTATAGGAAATTTTCTATATTTGCCGAAAATATTTGCATTGCTGTCATCATCATCATCTTCAGCTTGTCAATACCCTAGTCCTGCCTAGCATTAAGGCCGCCTATATTGTATACGTTCTATCTATCATGTTTTTAATTTACTTGTGTGTCTTGTATGGTGTATTACAATAAAGAATATTATGTTTATTAATGTCCCCACTGGAGGGTCACAGGCGTTTCACATGGATGGAAAAGGGAAATTGGGCCGTGACCCACCACGTGGCCCCAGTGCGGGTTAGTGGGTACTAAGAACTGGAGATACAGTCGCGACCAACGGCTTAACGCACTTTCTGAAGCACAGATGAGCTGGAGATAGTAATTTTTTGGTCACCCATCCAGTGACCGACCACTTCTAAATTTCCTTTACTTCAACTATAGCAGCCGAACGCGCTAACCCCTTGCGCCATCGAGCTCCTCCATTCGTTGTTGTATCAGAAGATAAAAAAGTGAAATTTCTTACTACAGTATATTGAACTAAAATGTAAATTGGGATATTGCAAATACTGCAATGCACTGCACTTGGCACAACATGGATATTTGATAAATATTAAACCGTTATATTAAGAGCGTCACTTATTGACACTAGTTTTCATCTTATCTTGGAAGTAGGCTGTTTTAGAAAAAAAGCATCGTCATTATGTTTTCATAATCTCATTAAATTAATCTGAGAGTTAAATAAGACTACAAATTTTAGATAAAATCTGTATTTGTTACATCATTGTTTATTTATTTATTGTTATATTTAACAGTGCTTCTACGCTTAATAATAATATTTTTGAGTACAAAATCCTTCGTGAACGGATTTTGACCAAAGAACATGATATCTCGAATGTGTTGTATTCATATTCAAAATCAAATTGATGTTGTTTGAAAGATTCTACTTGAGAAATTCTTCGGGATAAATTGTAACTTTTGGAAATAAAAATAAATGTCTAAAATAGCGACATCATATGAAAAATCTTGAATATGTTTAATTTTAAGAATTCTTTAATTTGACATTAACCATGTTTCATCTAAGTGGTAATATTTCACATTCTGATACACAAATCTGTCAAATATTAACATTCACCAATAGTTTAAATTAGGGATGCGCCGATCCGATCCGATCATTTGAAAGATCGGATCGGAAGGCATACGATCCGGTAATTTTCGGATCGGATCGAGGCCATACGATTTTTTGCCGGATCGTTACAAAACTTGAAAGATCGGATCACTTGGATCGTATGAATTAAAACGCGGTTTGTTTACAATAAATTAGGTAGGTACTTACTAAGGTTTCTGTTACGAACTTTATCTTTGTTTACATTTTAACTTGGCGGCATTCTTTGCAGGTGGATCCGTTAATCTTATACATTCTATTATTATAAACAAAAGTTGTACCTGATTAGGTGTGACGATTATTGATAGGTTTACCAAATAAAAATCTAAAATAATTTGTCTTATTTATTGTATCCAATCCGATCCGATTTCTTGAAGATCGGATCGACGGCATGCGATCCGATCCGCGGATCGGATCGTAGCATTACGATCCATTACGATCCGAAAAATCGGATCGACGACCCGGATCGCACATCCCTAGTTTAAATAGTTGTATTTCTTGTCCTGTAATGTATTTAAATCGATTGTAAGTAATTTTATTGAATTTATAGTTATGAATTTGATTTTATTTGACTGAATATACTGTAATGCAATGAAATGTAACAGTTAATATCGATTTAGTGTTATTTGTTTTATATAACTACATTTTATGTGTATGCAGGTTAAGCGTTGCAAATTATTAAAGAACGATTCGTCAAATATTAATAAGTCAGTACTATGTTGATTGCAACATGTTATGTTTACCAAATAAACAAATTAATATTATAAAAACTACCTAATGTATAAAATTTAAGTACAAATTACCTTAACCTACTTATAAATCACGACATAGTATAAAGCAAAGTCGCTTCCCGCTGTCTGTCCCTATGTATGCTTAGATCTTTAAAACTACGGAACGGATTTTGATGTGGTTTTTTTAATAGATAGAGCGATTCAAGAGGAACGTTTATATGTATAATACAAGCATAATATAGTAGAGAAACACTGATAAATTTTAGAGGTTTTTAAGGTAAGGTCGTAAATAAACACATTTTTTGCGTTTACATTGCAGACGCTGGCTGAACCCTACGAGATAGATCAAAATAATGTACTATAGTATTGTACACCTCAAAAAGTTCTACAAGAAATTTCGCGATGGTATATTAGGGATAACCCACAATAACCATTTTTTATCCTATACTTTTTACGAGAAATTAAAGATTATTTACGAAGCGATTTTCAGCAATATAACATTCATCCTTATCCAATTAAGTACCTTATTGTGCATTCAATATAGACCAATTTGACCCTTAACGCATGTAATTTAAATGAATATTTTCGAAGATATTACAGATTTAAAATGCAGGGACATAGCGCTTCCGACGCTACCGGGCGGGGGGCCTGGCGGCGCGTGCCTATTGTAATAAGGTATTAGAAGAATGTCATTCTATATAATACAAGCCTGAGAACAAAAACTATAGTCTACACTACAGCTCTACACCGAAGCGAAGCGAGGGCGGGCTACAAGTAATATCTAAATTACAAAAGGAATGGTGCCCCAAATTAAATTATATATGATTTTAAAATTTCGATTTACAATACACACCAAGTATAAATAGTTACATACGGTAGTTAAAGATTCTTACGATTTTACTGACATTTAGTTGTATTTGCTCCAGTTTGTAAATGAATGATCAAAATAACTTGCCTCGCACATCAGTACAACCAGGGTCGGATTTAGGGAGCGACGGGGCTACTGCTCTGTGTCCTTAACATCAAAGAAGAGGCCTCCACGACAATAGAAAAAACATAATCCGACGAGTCAGCAAATTTTACGTTTTTAGGCTTCCGTTCCTCAAAAGGGAAAAACGGTACCCTTATAAAAATACTTTGTTGTCTGTCTGTTAAGATCCTTTATTTATGTCGGGAACGCGTGGAGGTTTCGGGTTGAAATTTAAAACTCGGGTCTACGGGCCCTTGAAACTGTAAAATATAATATACAAACTTATAAGTTAATGTAAAAAAAATCTGACTGTCTGTCTGTCAAGACCCTTTATCGTGAGAACGCGTGGAGGTATAGAGTAGAAATTTAAACAATACACTCAACTCAGCGGGTCCTCGAAGATGTGAAAATATCAAACTTTTAAATCGTATACCGTTATTTTAAACTGTAGTTTTAGCCTGCTTTGCATGATTGAATCGATTCGATACTTGATGCAAAGTACTCTTTTTACTACATAGTATCGAATTAAAGTATCGATGTTTTAAGTACTATCGAGTCTAAAGTAGAATATGAGTACCTAAATCGAATTCGATATCGTGTTCCCATATTTATCTATTTAAATCCGGCCCTGAGTAAATCGCACATCTGGTTCATCTCAGTTCAAAACCAGTGTGTTAGCGAACACTGCATGTTTATTTTTGTTGTAATGTAATAAAACTGCCTGTCTTTCAAGACTTACATTAGAATAGATTTATTATATCGACTTGCGATATGCTGTTATACTCTATTGAATTTTATTATTAGTGTTTGGTAAGAACGAAGTAGAAATAGTCATGATAATAAATTCCATACAACTCATACACTTTAGAAAAAAATGAAACACTATTTCGTTTTTTAAAAGTGAAACTCCTTTACGCACGCTTGAGTTGGGGGATAAGCTCGCGAATGCGTAACGCGTTACGAAAAGTGTGTTCGGGCGAGGCGAACGGGAGTTGAGTGGGGGATATAAGCAAGATAATGCAGTGCGCGCGCACATTTTCTTTCTCTCTTTCTCTTATAGCTAATAATGAAATATATATATCCTCTACAGTACATCTAAAAGGTAAAAACTAGTTTTATTTAATGAGTGATGTGCGTGAAAACCTAAGAAACAAATATAGGTATGTATATGTACATACATATATATATTGTACACACATATACACAGGATGTTTCTTCTAGGGTGTAAATCCAGTGCGAGCTGATAGCGGAGTACCATACCTATCAATTTAACCCCCATGTATATTCTACGGTTTTTCGTAGTTTTAGAGTTAGAATTTTTTTTCGTAATTTTTTAAGTTGAACGATGTGTCAACTTTAAAAAAGTATAACTTCTTTTTTGGTCGATTTATCATAACAGAATGCCTATTGCTTGTAGTTTTATATGCAAAATAATCTCCTTCCTAACTTTAACCTAAGATATAAAAAATTTGATCGATACTAATTAAAAATGAATTAAGTAAAACAGAATGGATTTTCAATTGTAATAAAAAAAATGAAAATAGATGTTCCATAACTTCTGACTAATTTTAAAAACTGCCCGACTACATAAGCTTTGCTGAAATCTGTTGTTGAAGGTGTTGTATCGGAAATCGAGTAATTTTAATATTTTATAATTTCGTAGTATCTTAATTGAATCAAGCGGCTGACGTTGTGCAAATCGTTTATTTTTTTTATATTTTAATAGTGTTTGTTAGTTATTAAAACTCACTTTCAACACTATGTAGGAGTCACCAGAGTAGAAGTTTCCATACTGATTCTTTGGCACTGGAACCGGCTGAAAGTCCTGAAACAATAATACACTTTTAGTTTAATTTACATAGTCATTATCATTCAAGGAGGTCGCCAGGATATGGTCTAGGAGAGGGGAGGTGGGGCAAGCAAGGCTGTAGGGGCAAACAGCAGTGTTTCCGAACCAATACGACCATACAACCTTCAAAAAAAGACCGTACTCCTTCCTTAAAGGCCGGCATCGCATTTGTGATACTCCTGGTGTTGCAAGTGTCCATGGGCGACTGTGATCACTTACCATCAAGTGAGCCGTCTGCTCGTATGCCCCCTATAACATAAAAAAAAACAAAACAAGCTACTAATTACTACTAGGTGCAAGTCTCAAGTGGGGGCGCCAGATTTTAAAATATGCCCCTGCTTGTGCCTTACCTGTGTTTACCGCTGTCCTATCTTAAATGCACCTCTGGCTACGGTCTAGCGGGGAATAAGCTTAAGACTAGTTACGCTGTAAGACATGGAGTAACTAATCGAAGCTTAATCTTCATTTATTAATAAGGAGAGAAGAGTTTGTTTGGTTGAACGCGCTAATCTCAGAAACAAACTACCTACTAACCTGATATGAAAAAAAAATTTATGGATTTTCCATTTATCAAGAAAGGTTAGACTATATCATAATATAACTATATGATTTTAAAGCTTCAACAGTGCAGACATCTGTAAATCTACTCTGCTTTCCTGTTAAGTGACATTAATCTATTTTTTTAGTGTGTATGCTATGCTGTTGGTCACAGGTGACCTTTACAGCGTCACCGGGTTTGTGGACGAGATCCTAAGGGGATCTCAAGCCAAGAATTGGCGAGTGCCTCTAGAGGTATTCCAGGCGGATGGCATCTCCCCACGGGGGGAGTCTCCTCTCCGTCTGGAGCCTCTAGACCACTCGAACCTGAGGGGGTCGGCTCAACTAGAGAGCGTCACTGAGATCGGACCTCGGCTCTAGTTAGCCGTTGTCGTGGGGGGAGCAAATGTAATAATTTTCTGAATATTGTACATCAAAATCCTTCCCCAATAGGACAGGTTAAGCCTAGTGTGGGGGCTAGAACTCTGTAAAATTGTTGTGAAATTTGGAAATAAATCATTATCATTATAAATTAAAAATGAAATGAAAAAACAGAATTACTATAAAAGTATCTTATTCCCAGCCTTATTTTTCGCGCACAATCCTATCATTGTGAGCTCGATTCTCATGGCCTTGAAATTGTGTGCTTTGGCGCATTCTGTATGTAGTAGCAATAAAACCAGTACCTATAACGTGAGTAGTGATGGAATAAGTAGCTAAAGAATTTGAAAAACTATCGATGTTATTAAAACTAGGTTTGATAGGTATTTAAATAAATATTAAACGCATTAACTAGTGATGCAAGCTTCATAGGGCTCAGTACGTTTAGATAGAACGAACCAATATCGAATTCGAATAGCTAAATTCGATCTCGATACGCGGCAAATGTCAAAAAGTTTTTTAATTCTCGTTACGTCCGTTGTGGCGCTGTTCAAATTTCCATACAAATCTTCTTGTAATTTGACGCGTATCGAGATCGAATTCAATATTGGTTCGTGCTAAAGGTACAGAAGGAGCTCGATAGCGCGGGTGGTTAGCCATTGGCTGCGATCGTTGAAGTTGAGCAACTTTCGCAGTGGTCGGTCATTGGATGGGTGATCAAAAATCTTCTATTTCGAGTTTCTCCGTGCTTCGGAAGGCACGTTAAGCCGTTGGTCCCGGCTGCATCTGCAGTCGTTAGCACCCGCCAATCCGGGCCTGCATGGTGGTCATTCCATCCATAGGGAAGGCCTGTGCCCCAGTAGTGGGGACATTAATATGCTGATGATGAAGATTCAGGCCAGTATGGCGAGGATGGCTGGAGAGGCACACTTTTCTGCTGCTTCAGCTAACTTCGCGACTGGAGTCCACTTACACTTAACTTCACGTGGGTTTCGGTAACCTGCAGCACCTTGTTTATACTATTAACACTACCACAAAGATTAGAGTAAAAGTAGATACATTTCAGCTCGAATCAGAGCGTATGTTTGGAAAATTCACTTTCACCGAACAAATGCCTCCAAACTAACACTTAGCCGCTAAGACAAGAGTTATAGTAAATCTATTAAAGAGCTGACCAGATCCTAAAGTTATAAATAAGTGTTACCCATTCGGAGTTAGAGCGCGCTATATCTCTACTGTACCCCCGAAATGGGCACACTTTTTTTATCACCTTAGGTTGTTTAATTGCAGTAAATAAGAGTTACAGAATAGGTTAAGAGGTATAATAAAGCAATAAGAGAGCTATAATAGCGATAACTAAAACTACAAGGGATAAAAACGTGATAAATAGGCGAAAATTCACTCCCTTAGTGGTACAATAGAATAAAATATCGTTTATTAACCCTTTGGGTGCTAAAAGGGCTGCAAATAGGTGAATACTAACTCCCTAAGTGGTATGGTAGAACTAAAATGTCGCTCACTATATTTTTAAGTGATAAGAGAGTGGCAAGTAGGTGATTATTACCGCTTTGAACTCTAATATAGACGCACAAAAGCTATAAAAAGGACTTCAGGTGCTAACCTTTTTAACTTCTAAGACTATTTTTTTATTTCGTCTACATAATTTAACCTCTCGTTTTTATGTGCGAACAGTGCGTATGTTAGTATTTGTCGCATCCAAAATGCTGCCATTCGTTTGTGAAAATGAAATTAAAAGTATAATCTTTTAGTTTCAACCTAGTGGACACAGAAGTTGACTTTTTACTGTGAAGGTAAGTACACTGTGAATAAGTATATGTATTATTAACAAATTATTCAAGCGCCCGATGTCTGTTGTCTATTTACTGAAAAGAAATATTAAGTAACATAAAACTTTTGTAATAATCTAATAAAACGTTGCCTATTCTAGTTTAAGGTATTGTGCTAGTAGTGTTAGAACACAATGAAGCAAAATACTTCAATTAAACCGTGTTTTCTTATGTTTTTCTAACCCCTTTTTAGTTGCGTCACCATTGCGTTACTATCAACAACAAGTAAACGAATGAGGGGTACAGAAGTGGTATTAAGCTCTATTACTCTACCTAAAGTTATACAGAAGTCACAATAACCACTAGAAGTTCTATCATAGCGAAGAATGTTTCTGCTGTTCGACTTTTAGTAACTTAAGAGCATTTTGTACCTCTTTAGGCATTTGGTGGTACAAAAGAATTTATGAGCACCATTGTGGAACTGGTAGTGGTAATTATTGCTTTTGTGCAACTTTTGGTTCTTGGCGAGAGTTTATTATCGCTTGCATAGCACTTTGGGGGGTTGTAGTCAATGCCCACTTCTTATTTAGATCTTATAGTTGTAAGATTCACTTAAAGCTATAACACAAGATGCTTTGCCCATATTGTAGAGTTAAAAAATGCTGCTGTATGTCTTTAACCTTTAAACTCACCCTGTTATCATCACCCTTGTAATTCTGTGGTATAGCTCTACGTGAAATATTTTGCTTGTTTACGCTCTTTTGTCGCCAAAAGTTGTAAGTGCTGCTGCTGTAGCACCTTTATATCTCGGTCAGTTCTAAAACAAGCTCTAATTGACGCCTAAATGTTTATTGGGCTGCAGCCATATATATTATGGCTCTTTTATTCAGATACATTTGCCTTTTTACCATTAGACGTTCCACATATTTATTTGCTACCCATTTCACATTAAGAAATTAGCAAAACGTCAATTCGTACCCATTGAGCAGATAAGTTAAAATAAACGTTTGATGCAATCTTCGCTGATATATTATAGGTATAACCTCCGAAAACTATCGATACTATCACGCCCATCTCTAGTGCTATAAAAACTGGACTCGGGCTAATTTAATTCCTGCTCAGACACAGTAATGGCTTTCTGTTTTGTTTCCTTTTTGTTACAAAAATTTAAGATTGACCGACTCTATATCAAGATCAAGGTCCTGAATCAAAAGAACTACAGTGCTCGGCACGTAAGTTGAACCAACATTTTAGTTTTCAGCGCATGTTTTTTCACAGACAAAACGACACAAAACTAAATATTTTTTTAACAAAACGGTTGTTGTGTTTCATTAGATATTGTATTGTTATTAAATCTTTAGTGCTATGATGTTTCTCTGTGAAAAAAACATGCGCTGAAAACTAAAATTTGGGTTCAACTTACGTGCCGGGCACCGTACTGTTCTTAAATTCAAACTTTCAAAGAAAAAAGTTGCAGATTTTTTTTTTGGCAAAAAAAGCGGCAAAGTATTTTAGAGCCTGTCTGATGGGCAAACTTCTTGAGCAAAACCACAGACAAACTTGCGCAGTAGACGTAGACGTTTTTAGGGTTCCGTAGTACCAGAAACACTTATAGCTTCGTCATGTCCGTCTCCGGTTTTGTATGGAGACTGATAGCACTAGTAAGCTGTAATTTTGTGGTGTAATCAATAACGCCGACAAAATCGTGAAATAAAATTTAAAATTTTTAACAACTATAAAAAGAGTCTCCATTGACTCGTTTCATTTTTATAACTTTATTTAATATTTCTTACCTACTTATGATAGCGGCCATAGTAACACATTCTGTGAAAAAAAATAGGTATCTTTTCGTAAGAGACATTATAGCGCTGTGACAAACAAAACAGCATGTTACGTCTATTTATATATCCGATAACTTCTCCACGACAACTAAGCGAAGCACTGTTGGCTTTCCTCTGGAACGTATAATTGAAAACTGATGAATTAGAGGAAGAAAATTTGTACGGGTAACCAAATTTTTCTCGCAGACGAAGTTATGTTAACGAACCAGTGTCCTTGAAACGTGTACAATGATTTTTCCTGTGTATGTAGTTACGGTTCATTGAAATTTTCGACACGCTGGTCATTAATTTAGTTTTTTTTAACGCTATGCACAGATAATAATACGTTATGCACAGATGATAATCTATATATATATAAAACTCAAAGGTGACTGACTGACATAGTGATCTATCAACGCACAGCCCAAACCACTGGACGGATCTGGCTGAA